GCTCAGTATTAGTTTAAGTGATTTAAAATCTTGCAGATTGTGATCACTCTGACGCAAGTTGGAAACTTGCAGAAACATGCTCTCACAGTCACTCTCACTAGGTCTCTTGAATGCCTGTTTAGATCATTTCATGCTTGAATAAACCAAGAATTTAGATCCGAAATCTCTGCAGAGGTGAATAACACATGTGTACTAACCAGTGTAGCAAACATGATGGTATGCATAGAGCAGGCATACAAAGATAGAGATCTGTGGGTAGTGCTCAGAGATTTCAAACTCAAAGAGAATAAGAAACATCCCTATCATCAAATCAAATCTGCTCCACTCCCGCCAGGCTTCGGATGAAAGTGATTTCAGCCATTATCCAGCTCTGCATCCATACATTTACTATAATGCTGCAGTACAGCTTTGAAAAATGATCTGTTTTCACTAAGTGCAGCAGTCAAATTATTTCCAAACCTACAGGGAAACACTGGCAGGAACACAAAGAAAGGAAAAGACTTTGATTCCAAACCGACATAACTCGGATAGAAACCCCCCCCAACTCCCTAAAAATTACAAGGACAAAATGAAAATGCTTTAAAGTACTTCTGAAGAATACTACTACCAAATAATGTGCTTAAATCAACATGAAACAATACCTTTTAGAAATATAGATTTAGGGATTTCTGAACTATAGATCATACACTTCTGGCCTCAGATTAAACTGATGAGGTCTTATTTTCAGAATGGGAAGTTTGAAACACAGTATGATCTTTGTAAAAATGGTTTAATTTATGACGACATTGTAACCAGGTCAAAACAAACCGGCCTTGTTATTTTTTTTTAATTGTTAAGTGTTAAGTGCAATTTAACATCATTGTTGGGGACATTAACTGTAACATACATTTTTAAAATCATTGGCATATGTCACAAAAGATAAACTTGGTTGCTGATATGGATTGTTCATGTGAACACTGTAAACACGCCGCTTAAGGCTCATCAGTAAATGACCGTAGACATCCGGCCATCCTACGATTTAACATAGACTTTGTTAAGTGACAATATTCTCCATGCTAACATGTTAGCTTATGCCTTGTAAAGGTAGAGATGAAGTGAAACACTTATGCGCCTATCTAATGCTTAATATTACACAATATTAGGAGGGGGTGAAGGCTCTAACATTTTAGCATATGTTTTATATAAAAACAGTTGGTTGTATGCTAACAGATACGTTAATAGTAAGTAAGTAAGTAAGAATTTATTGAGAAAATTATCCACAGATCAATCGATAAATAATCATTGGTTTAGGGTGACCATATTTTCAAACCTCCAAACCAGGACCCTATAGCCTGTAACATGGCTTGTGATAAAAGGAAACTATTTACTATCCAAAGAGTCAACGTTTTGGAGAGAAAGTTAAGAAATTGTTGAATTTCAATGACACAGAAAGAAACAACCTTCTGATTGGTCACTCTGTCAGCTCTGTGACTGGATGTTTGGTTCAACAAGCTGTATATGGGACGCAGACACACAGCAAACACTGAGACATTTGGCAGGGAAGCCAGTCATTATGGCCTGAGGCTTCAGCTCTGGTCACAGAAGGACTAGATGTGGACAGGAAAGCAGCAGTCTCTTCAGCTGAAGTCCTCATTCTTATCCCTGGGTGTCAACGGACTTCCTCTCTGTGACCTATGAACTTTGGGTACCATGAAAACGAGCCAAGAACAATTTATTTCTCTGAAGAATACGAATGGTCAGGAGATGAAAATTAACTGTTTACATTCAAAATACAATGAAACCAGTGTCCTCGTGGCGGGAAACAACTGCTGCAAATATGTTAACTAGAATTAAGAACCAATGAAGGTTAAATCAACGTATATCATTATGAAGGTGATCAAAAAACACCAGAAATTTCTTAAAATTTAAATAGAACCTATCAGTCTAAATTCTTGCTAGCTTCCACTAGAAGCTTGCAGCCTCAATATGAAAGTGTTGGACAGAGCAAACAACAAACTAATGGCCAGTATTTATATGTAAGTGGAACATTTATCCTAAAAGTGGCACTACGGGAAAGGTCTTTTCCCATGGGCTCACTAAAAATATCTGGGGATCAGAAAAAGCCACAGCTAATTTCATGCAAATCCAGCATTTAATTCACAATAAACCTTGTCAACCATTAACCCGTAATCAGTGCTCATTGAGGATTAATTTAAGCTCCTTGATCGTAGTTTGAATGCGACTTTGAATTTCTGTTCTGTGCTGTTTGATGAAACTGCACATTTTCGAGTGGCCTTTTATTGTGGCCAGTCTAAGGCACACCTGTGCAATAGCCATGCAGTCTGATCAGCATCTTGATATGCCACACCTGTGAGGTGATTATCTCAGCAAAGGAGAAGTGCTCACTAACACAGATTTTGACAGATTTGTGAACAATATTTGAGAGAAATGGGCCTTTTGTGTACATAGAGAAAGTCTTAGATCTTTGAGTTCAGCTCATGATGAATGGGGGCAAAAACAGAATTGTTGCATTTCTAATTTTGTTCAGTATATCTATCGATTGATCGTATTTTAGCCCACTGTGTCTCTAGATTCTGTAAAAGCTATCATAAATAAAATTTCAACAGCTGGAAAATGAATGAGGTTTTAGTTTGTGCAGAATGACGAATACCTCCTAGACGTTTTCACAGACTTAAACATGGAAAAAATATTGTCTCATAAAATCACATGTACAAGCAAATGCTAAAGCCTTTGTGATCCACTATTGTTCTGTAACACTCGCAGACAGAGAGAATAAAAAAAACAGATGTTAATTTGTATGACAGAAGCTGTGGATGTTTGGGGTAAAATTTGAGGAACGGTTGAGCTCATCCAGCTATGACTTCCATAAACTCATTGAACAGCTTCAATATAAAAACAGTCAGAAGGTCAAATGAAGTTGAAGAGACTTCTGCAGATGGGCTCAAAACATGTCATTAAAAGCTTTGGGTTTAGTGTCTCTGCTGCTTGTTCTACAACATCGTGAAATGCTGCAGGAGACATGACGCCAGAGTGTCTTAACCCTAGGGTTGGACCCAGCGTCAGGTCACTTGTTAAGTTTAACATCCCTGGCGATTTCTCAATATACACTTGTATGTTGATTTTTTTGTTTTGGAATATTTTTAAAAAGCCTTAAAACTTACTACTGGACTTTATGCTGCAATATTTACTACACAACAATATACAAACACATTCTTTCTAAAATCCAGAGTAAATTTTATGAACTTCTGTCCGCTGATTATATGTAGGGATTTTTTCTGATGGTGGCACTAGAGGAAATGTCAAATATTTCTAAACAATGGGAACCATTTTCTGAAGACCATCCACTGCATACAGAGATTATGTTTCATGGCAATCAGGCCATTTTTAATTCACACATAAAAAACATTTGACAAGGGTTTAAATATTGAAATATGGGACATACACTCACCTAAAGGATTATTAGGAACACCATACTAATACTGTGTTTGACCCCCTTTCGCCTTCAGAACTGCCTTAATTCTACGTGGCATTGATTCAACAAGGTGCTGAAAGCATTCTTTAGAAATGTTGGCCCATATTGATGGACAGCATCTTGCAGTTGATGGAGATTTGTGGGATGCACATCCAGGGCACGAAGCTCCCGTTCCACCACATCCCAAAGATGCTCTATTGGGTTGAGATCTGGTGACACTGGGGGCCATTTTAGTACAGTGAACTCATTGTCATGTTCAAGAAACCAATTGGAAATGATTGGAGCTTTGTAACATGGTGCATTATCCTGCTGGAAGTAGCCATCAGAGGATGGGTACATGGTGGCCATAAAGGGATGGACGTGGTCAGAAACAATGCTCAGGTAGGCCGTGGCATTTAAACGATGCCCAATTGGCACTAAGGGGCCTAAAGTGTGCCAAGAAAACATCCCCCACACCATTACACCACCACCACCAGCCTGCACAGTGGTAACAAGGCATGATGGATCCATGTTCTCATTCTGTTTACGCCAAATTCTGACTCTACCATCTGAATGTCTCAACAGAAATTGAGACTCATCAGACCAGGCAACATTTTCCCAGTCTTCAACTGTCCAATTTTGGTGAGCTCTTGCAAATTGTAGCCTCTTTTTCCTATTTGTAGTGGAGATGAGTGGTACCCGGTGGGGTCTTCTGCTGTTGTAGCCCATCCGCCTCAAGGTTGTGCGTGTTGTGGCTTCACAAATGCTTTGCTGCATACCTCGGTTGTAACGAGTGGTTATTTCAGTCAAAGTTGCTCTTCTATCAGCTTGAATCGGTCGGCCCATTCTCCTCTAACCTCTAGCATCAACAAGGCATTTTCGCCCTCAGGACTACCGCATACTGGATGTTTTTCCCTTTTCACACCATTCTTTGTAAACCCTAGAAATGGTTGTGCGTGAAAATCCCAGTAACTGAGCAGATTGTGAAATACTCAGACCGGCCCGTCTGGCACCAACAACCGTGCCACGCTCAAAATTGCTTAAATCACCTTTCTTTCCCATTCTGACATTCAGTTTGGAGTTCAGGAGATTATCTTGACCAGGACCACACCCCTAAATGCATTGAAGCAACTGCCATGTGATTGGTTGATTAGATAATTGCATTAATGAGAAATTGAACAGGTGTTCCTAATAATCCTTTAGGTGAGTGCATGTGCATGTTCAAATACACCCTAATGTTGCGCTACCTGATTTTATTTTACTGTACAGCTGATGTAGACATTGTCATGTCCTGATACATCATCCTTATTGCTACTTAATTAATCTCACAACCTCTTGAATACATTTGCATATACGTAGTTGATAGAAACACTTGATGAAGTTTCGGTAATTTACTTAATCCTAATCCTATCCCTTCGTGCAAAAATTGTGTAACAAAAAAAGTACAATAGATTGCAGACCTGGAGAGTGAGAAGCCACTCAATTAAGACAATAAAATAAAAAAGTTGGAAAAATACTCAGTATTTAAGTTTTCTCTCTCTCTCTTCAGGATGATTGACAGCTGCTCCTCCTGAAACCCAGAATGCCTGTGGTGCCAGTGGGCGGGGCATCCTCCTCCCACCATGTCGTACCTGTCGCACTGACCTGTTCCTGGCTGCTCCTGCTCTTCCACGCCGCCTTTGGTCAGAAACCAGCTAAGCTGCCACTGATTGGCCGGAAACCCTTCATCGCCGCCTGGAACGCCCCACTGGACATGTGCATCATCAAGTACAACATCACCACTAACCTTGACCGCCTCTTTCACATTCATGGGAGCCCACGAGCTGACTGGACGGGCCAGAACGTCACCATCTTCTACGCAAACCGGCTGGGCTATTACCCCCACTACACGCCACAGGGCGTTGCTGTGCATGGCGGCCTGCCGCAGAACTGCAGCTTGGACCAGCACCTGTTCAAGGCCTACCAGGATATTAACCACTTTATCCCCGCAGAGGATTTCCGTGGCCTGGCCGTCATTGACTGGGAGTTCTGGCGGCCTCAGTGGAGTCGTAACTGGCACAAGAAAGACATCTACCGCCGCATGTCGAGGGAACTGACCGCCAAGGCGTATGTCAATGTAACGGTGGCACAGGTGGAGGAGTTGGCACGGCGGCGGTTTGAAAAGAGCGCCAAGGTGTTCATGCAGAGGACTATCCAGCTGGGGACACGCCTTCGCCCCAATGCCCTCTGGGGTTTCTACCTGTACCCGGACTGCCACAACTACAACCTGCATGAGCAGAACTACACAGGCTTCTGCCCACAGCAGGAGAGGTGGAGGAACGACGATCTGGCGTGGCTGTGGAACAGCAGCACGGCGCTCTTCCCCTCTGTGGCGATCAGGAAAAGTAACACCAACAGCATCAGCAACCTGCACTTCTCCCAGCACAGGATCCGAGAGTCGCTCCGCGTGGCCTCGTTGACCTCCAAAGAGTACGACCTCCCCACCTACGTGTACCTGAGGCTGGGCTACCGAGACGAGGCCCTGGCCTTCCTCACAGCAGTAAGAACAAAGTTTATCACAACAATGCACATGTTTTCCTTTAAGTTTAGTAATAAGCACATGATTTACTTACTCAGCTCTGGTTGGCCACAATACTGGCACATGACGTAGTTCATTTTCAGAGTGTGTTGGATGCCATTTACAACGACGATCTGCTCGTTTCCCACATTCGTCTGAAGCGCTTTTAGATGGTTAAGTTGGTGCTAACAGCTCTATATCGCGCAGCTGTACTCTCTGAGTCACACCCACTTTTTAGTGGCAGTTCAGCAACAGTTTAACATGACGCCAACAGTTCAGGATGAATCTCCAACAAGGAGTTTTGTGCTTCTCTCTGTGTAATGACATGAAATATCTGTGTAAAAAGCTTGTCGGCTCATTTCAAGTAAATTTATGCTTTAGCTTTTACTGACACTACTAATAAACAATAACTTGTTCTTGTACTATAACCGTGTAAATGGTGTTGGCATGCTAACATGGTAATCGCTATTAGCATCACACTTACATTGACCAGGAGGTAGAACTCCATGTTAACATACATTTTCACAACAGCAGCGAGGTCTGAGCGTCTAATTAGCAGCCCATCCCTCTACTTTGACCTGTGCCAACAACAGGTGACAGTTTGTGAACCAACGCAATGAATGAAGCGTGACGATGGACAACCTTATGTCATCTAGTTTTAATTTCAAGATAACCAAATCTGTGTATTATTATGATAATTATTAATTACAGGTTTCAAACAGTAGAGTCAAGACAGGGAATAACGTACTTAATTACCATTATTTCTAACCTAATAATATACTCAGAAAGATAACCTGGAGGCATAAGAGTAATGGCAAGGCTTAAAATGTTTTAAATTGGTAACATCTATACAGTTTAATTAGAATAAATGACGTCTGGACTTCAGTTCACAGTAATCAGTGTTTCACTAGAAGGATGAAGGCGACATCTGCTAGTCTCCCAGCGATGGAGAGGAGGCTTAACACAACTACATTTAGTTAGCAGTGGTAAATAAATCAAATAAATAGTAGTAGCAGCAATAAAAGTAGCAGAAAATGGAAATATAAGTACAAGTACCTCAAAATTATGAAAGTAAAGTGCAATACTTGTGTAAATGTAGATGTCTATGAAGATTCTCAGTCATCCAGGCCATAGTTATCCAACGAAGGTTAAAATCAAGGGCAACTGGACTTGGTTGAAGCTACTGGAAGACGTTTCGTCCCTCATCCAAAGGACTTCTTCAGTTCTGACTGACTGTCAGGGAAACTCAGCTATTTAACCTCAGTGGGGTCGTTATCCCGGGTCATCGATACCGCTGGTTCGTTAGTGTTCCTTGTTGCTGTGACGACAGTCGTTACAGTCGTTGAGACTACCTGTGGCCAAGACTGAACGACCATCGTTGGCATCTTCACCTGAGGCCAAGAAGTTACGTTTGTTGAGTTTCCTGGGAAGTGATGAAAGGACAGCATTGTAAGTGGGGGATAAGTGGTGGCGTAGACCCCCTCCCCTGTTCAATGACGGCTTCTCAACCCGGGTGTAGATGCTTCCTTGACACCTCTTTCAAACCATCCATCTTCTCTGTCTAAAATGTGCACCTGGTGGTCCTCAAACGAGTGTCCTCTGTCCTTCAGATGTAAGTAGACTGCAGAGTCTTGACCTGAGGAGTTGGCCCTTCTGTGTTGAGCCATGCGTTTGTGTAGTGGTTGTTTAGTCTCCCCAATATACAGGTCTGTGTCTTCCAGTATCTTCAACCAAGTCCAGTTGCCCTTGATTTTAACCTTCGTTGGATTGTGTAAATGTAGTTATATATTTCCCACCACTGTTACTTACTTACTAGTTGAGTGTATTCTGGAGAATTTTTAACTTATCATTAAAGCCACTGCAACATAAACAAATCTCTCACATTAGATGTCCTTTTCTTCAAAACACTTTCTGTTTGGAAGGACTGATGGTCAGAGCTGACTTTCTGAATTTATTCACTACTGCCCTCTCGTGGAGATCTGTAGAAAAAGCAGCTCAGAGTAACTAAATACAAACCTAATATGCTGTGGTTCTACTTAAACTACAAAACGGTCAGGAAAACCAGAGAAAGGTTTTGCCTTCTGGTCTGCAGATTTATTGAGGAGTTTTAGAAATAATCTTTGAAATATCGCAGGTATGCAAAAAAAAAAAAAAAAAAAAAACTGAAGAAAAATGTCTCTTTGATTTTTTCTAAAGCCTTTTGTGAGAAATACTTTACTTCTTATCTTGAGCTGAATCAGAAGCGCCATCTGGTGGCTCTTTCCCCACATAATTATTCTCCCTGGTCATGGATATAAAATGCATCTATTTGTCCGTCTTTTTGTACTGGTTCTGTCTTTACAAATGAATAACATTCAGAACAAATGATCATTATGTATGTACACAGTATGCATATTTATTACTGTGTGCCACATGATTGGAAGGATCCATTCTCAAAAGCAGCAGTCATTTTTGTTTTGTTTGATAATTTAACTCGACAGCTTTTTGGTTCATTAAAATCCTTTATTGTGCTTCCACTTGTCCCTAAATTGGTTCCCTTAAGCTTTGGATGTTGTGGGCCTGGTGTTAAGTCACATGTTTAATATGTAGTGTGTGTTAGTGACAGAGGAAGATCATGTGATGTGACTTCTACCTGTGTTTCCTGCAGAAAGACTTGATCCACACTATCGGGGAGAGTGCTGCTCTGGGAGCTGCAGGATTCGTCATTTGGGGAGACCTAAACCTGACCTCGTCCAGGGTGGGTGTCCTTCACCGGGGTGCCAAAAAGTTCCCCCGAATCTTTCCCCCCTCTTATTTTCTGCAACAATGGAAAAGACCCAATGAATCATTAGCTGACAGATTCACAAAGACTATTTAAATACAGGTCATAAGTTGTGGTGGAAGGTCTGCTGTAAAAACTTTTCTTTGTTTCTAACTTGTGTCAATGAGACAAAGGAAGTCTGACTGTGTATGTGTGAAAAACATTCTTTCCTCAAGCTCCTTCGTTTGTTTTGGACACCAAACAAACCACAGCAGTAAATATAGTCAAACAATAGAAAGTTGAAGTCATGTGGTTGCTGTGTGTTATGAGACCACTCTAACATTTTGAAAATTATAATGTGCATGCTTTTATAGCCTGCAGTGATCGGGTCTTTATGGAATTTTTTTTATCCTAACTGCATTTTGACAGTGGATTTTTTAGAGCTTGTTTAATGAAAACAGCTGTCTGCTGCTGCTGGAAACACTGAGACTGAACAACAGTAAAAAGAAGTATAGGCAACTGTTACCACAACTACTTTATCACCTGATCACATGTCAGATGTTGTGTTTACAACTTGTTCTGTGGCCTCCAGGTGGCCAAAACAGAAATTAGTGCAGCTTTAATCAAAAGAACTGAACAATCCAACTAAAAACAACCAACTTGACAGCTGTCATTGCTGATTTGTCATTTGGCAACTCAAAATTCGTGTAAATGCGAGGATAAATCGACCCCCTTTTTTTGTAAGACATCAATTGAAAATTTGGATGGTGTTTCATATGAACCACAAAAAGCCCATAACATCATGGCTGTTGTGATTTTTTTTTTTTTTTTATGTTTCCACAGCATAACTGCACCAAGGTTAAATCTTTCCTCAAACACCGCCTTGGCAAGTACATCACCAACGTGACGCGCGCAGCCGAGGTCTGTAGTGACTTCCTGTGCCAGGGGAATGGCCGATGCGTCCGCCGGGACCCCCTCGCCCGCCATTACCTCCACCTGAGCGCAGATAGCTACCGCATCCAGCTCTCCGTTGATGGGGACTTTGCAGTCAGTGGGTGGCACTCACAGCACGAGATGCAGCTGCTGACTGAGAGGTTTCGATGCCACTGCTACGAAGGGCACGAGGGCGAGAGCTGCGACAGCATCAACAAAGTGAGGGAGGATGATGGGCCATGGAGGGAAGAGGAGGATGAGCAGGAGAGGCGGAGGACAGAGTGGGAGGATGAGCAGGATGAACCGTGGGAGGGAGGGGAGAGTGAGGCGCCACTGACCTGCTACAGCCTTCCCCTGATGTTGTTGACGCTCCTGTTGAACATATCGTTAGTAAAGACAGTCGTATGACACACAGACAGTATGTTGTTTTTTAATTTAAAAATGAAGACTGGTCTTTAGCTGGATTTAAACCCAGGACTGTTTCACCCTCTTCAAATGACCTTTTTTTGTTTAATATCAGTGAATCTAGTGATAGTTTTTTACTAAACAATTATCATTTCAGCCTGGTTCCAGACCACTGAATCACTTCCCACATCTTAGATTTGTTCAGTGGTTCAAATAAGTCTGGTGCTGTGCTCATGAACGGCTGTTTCTCTTGCCCTTTGAGATTTAAAATCTGAAAATGACATATTTCTTTGATATACATGACAGCCAACATGAACGCAATGTCAACATAAATAATAAAAGGAAAAATAAAATTTTAATTTAGTCTGAATATCAGGCAATATAATAAGTTAGTCTTTAAAATGTCATAAGCCATTCTTTAAACTACATTTTTTACTCTGGTACTGGTTGTAATCCATTACTAGTGGCCATTAGAGGAACTTCAGCTGATCAACACTGATCTCACACATTAACTGAGGTCTCAGCTGAGATCACTGCTGAGTGGAACAGAAACTGTTCAATGTGAAAAGAAGAAACAGCTTTTTTTTTTCTCTGAGAGCTGCTGTGTTGAAAAGTAATATGTGCAACAACAACAAAACAAAAACGTGACAATTCCTTTATAAAGGAGTGTGATGGCACTTTACATGACACAGAGGTTTGACATGTTGACAGATGAGGCTTTGGTTAATTGTACAAACAGGTGAAATGTATTTGACTTCTGCTAAAATCTGCACTGCCTCTTTTTCCAACAACTCCATCTGTTCTTTCAGGAATGTTAATTAGTAACTGTAAATACTGTTTGTTAAACTGTGGACTGAGTCACATTCAGTAAAGAGAAGGTTTCACGTGATGATCATCCTGCGTCACTGCAGAGCTGAGGGTCGGATCACAGGGATCACATTCTTCCTATTTTTAAAAGCTTCATGGTTCAATAGAATCACAGTAAACTCGACGATCCTCCAGCAAAGCTTTTCAATGCAAACTAAAAGGTGCTTATATTATCTATCACACAGCCATATTTAGGAAAATAATCAAAAGTGGTCTGTAGTGTTTTTGAAGATTTAAGAATTGGGGTTGCTTTATTTCTAAGGGTATGAAGTTCGTTTTTTTTCTCAACAATAAGCTGTTATTTTACTTGACATTATACATGAAGTGTGTATTTTTTGTACTGTTGCTTACATTATACTCTTGAAGTAAAGCTTGTCAGAAAACACCTCATAGTTGAGCCTGTTGGAACGTGGTGTGCACATGTTGTAGGTGCTTTTGATTTCATAATATTGTGTATCTGTATCTCTTCTAAATAGTTATAAGTATAGGGGATCGGGTTTGTTTTTCAATGACTGTATAGGCTGACGTTACTACATCTCAGTTTGGAGGACAACAAACTATATTTAGTTTTGATGATATCTCATTTTGTTGTGGCTGAGTGGACTCATTAGTTATGTCTTTGAAACTGATGTACAGTGCTGTAGGCATGACGAAACACTGAACAGGATGTAAAAGATGGCACATACTTTATCTGAATACATGACTCAGTGGCTCTCTCCCTTTCTGTTCAAACCAAAGTGGAAACATAGAGCGGTAAATAAAGTGGTATAAAATCATCATGTGCAAAAATACGACTTGAAGCAGAAAGCTGACTTAAGACTGAATACAGGTTTTTTGAGTCTAATATGTTGTACCTGACCTGAAAAGAAGAACACAAATGCGTCGTCAACTCAATTCGTGCCACCTAGAAGAAGTCTGTTTCCACTTGTGTCTTTTCATTAACTTTGCAGAAAATTGCACTGCTTCTAAAATTCATTTTGCTCCAAGTCTGAACAGATCTTTATCTTTCTCCCACTAAGCAGCATTCAAAAAACCCACCTGTTTTGTGGTCCAATCACAGACCAGACACCTGGAGCATTTTAAGTCGAACCAAATCTAGAGCAGAGGTGTACCTGAGACCTGGGCCCGTATTTATCAAGCTCCATCAATTCTCAGAACTTAAGACTAAAAAGGCACTTTGAGAAGCTTGATGAATACCGGCCTGGTCTAATCTAATGAAGGTTGAGTCTCTGTAACTTTCTGGTCTTTTAAGTGAAACATGTAGCTTCAGTCATCTAACATCCTGGTTCCTGGTTTAAGGTGAATCACTCATTTAAGTACTTTCATCTCAAAAAAGCCTTTAGGTGAAGTTCAGGTTTCATGATGCAGTAACTGTTTCCTGCACTTACTGTGTTTTTTAAATTAAGATTGTAAACCAAAAATGCAACAAGGACTATGCAATGCGAAAAATGTTAGCTGAATGTAAATGCACTGCAAATAAAGAGTTTTCCTCAGTGTTTTCTCTTTGCTGTTTTTTTTTTGTGCACATAAAGAGAGGATTTCAGGGGAGCTGTTGGCAGCAATGAGAAAAAACTTCTTCTTTGTGCAATATGTGCACGCCACGTATGATGAGTGTTAGAGTCTTACAATAGCGCTACTGTGCCGGCAGGCTTTTTTGTAAAATATATCCTGGGCGGTGAGAACATGGAAACCTGAATCATCTACCAGCTGGTTACTAAGGACTGAAAAGAGGAAGAAGGGTAGATGGAGGGATAACATTGTCTGCTTTCTCAACGATGATGACACGTTAAAAATAACTCACATGCTTGAAAACCTGAGTGTTTCATCTGAGATAACCAAATACTGGTCTACAGTACAGACACTTGTACCATAATTTATGTATTTATGTATGTAGAACTGTAGAAATGGTCAAATAAAACATTGATAGTAACCATTCAATCATTCCGTATTATTATATGTCTTTGACAAATAGCAAACAAAGTTTTACCTTTAAAACTGTAGGTTATCAATGAATCACTGAAAAGTCACTGGTGTGGATCAGCAACCTTGAAAACACAATTTTGTGATATGAGGCAATGCTGGCCCAACAGAACACAACAGGTGGTAGTAAAAAGTAACAGTCTTCATTAATGAAGTGGTGTTAGTGAGGTGGTTTGTAAGGCTGGTGCTGGCAGGAGGCAGACAGGCTGGTGGTGGCATGGTTTTTGATAAGCAGAAGTGAGGTAAGCAGCATGCACAGCAAAAAAACACATTAGAGGAAATCACTGGAAGCAATAACAAACTACTAAAGAGTAAATAACTAAGCCAAGAAGGCAGCAAGTACTATACTAGAGGTTTGGAACAATCTGGCAATGAGAAGCAGAGAGCCAGGAGTATTTAACCAGGTGGATGATGAGATGATTGGAGTCAGGTGTGCTGCTCCACCAGGTGCCCAGAATGTAGCCATGCCCATACACACATTCGCTATGTTGCCAAAAGTTTGGGTCGCTTGTCTTTCTATGCTCATGAAGGTTAATGACATCCCATTCGTAATCCGTAGGGTTTAATATGGAGTTGGCCCACCCTTTGCAGCTATAACAGCTCCAACTCTTCTGGGAAGGCTGTCCACAGCACAGTCATGTTGGAAGAGGAAGGAGACATCCCCAAACGGTTTCCACAATGTTTGGAGCATGAAATTGTCCAAAATTTCCTATTTCTGGAACTAAGAGGCCAAGTCCTCAACAACAACCCCACACCATAATCCCCCTCCACCAAACTATCCACTTGGCACAATGCAGTCAGGCAAGTCCCGTTCTCCTAGTAACCGCCAACCCCATACCCGTCCATCGTATTGCCAGAAAGAGAAGCATGATTCGTCACTCCAGAGAACATGTCTCCACTGCTCTAGTGTCAAGTGGAGTGCTTTACACCACTGCATCCGACGCTTTGCATTGCACTTGGTGATGTAAGGCTTGGATGCAGCTGCTCTGCCATGGGAACCTATTCTATGAAGCTCTCTACGCACTGTTCCTGAGCTAATCTGAAGGCCACACGACATTTGGAGGTCTGTATCTATTGACTCTGCAGAAAGTTAGCGACTTCTGCGCACTGTGCGCCTCAGCATGCAAATACTGGTATTCTCCGCCCCGGCGACAGACATCCAGAATCCGCCTGATGGTACAAATTGGACTGTCATCAGTGATCTGGTAGGGGTGGAGGGGGTTCTGCCAGAGGGCTTAATGGACAGGAAGCAACAGGTTTAATCAGGGATATATGGAATGTGGGGTGAACCTTCATGGAGGTAGCTAACATTAATCTCACAGCTTTTTTTCCCTTAATGGGAAAGGGGAAGAGGGGAAGTTGAACGTTTCACAAAAGAAAGTTGTTTACTCCATGATGAGAGGTTACAGGCCAAGACGTAGTGCCGTCTCCAGATCCAGGTTGGCCCGCTCAGTCTGTCCATTGGTCTGGGAATGGTATCCAGAGGAGAGACTGGAGATGTCTCCCAAGGACCGACAAAAAGCCTTCGACACCTGGAATGAGAATTGAGGACCCCGGTTGGACACAACATCCTGTGGAATGCAATGGATCCGGAACACATGCAAAACAAGCAGGACCAACATTTCCGATGCTGAAGGCAACTTGGGAAGAGGAACAAAGTGCACGGCCTTGTGGTGCACAATAGTTAATGTCACAGTGTTACCTTCAGATAGTGGAAGACCAGTAACAAAATCTATTGTGATTTGAGACCCGGGTCAGCCTGGGATGGGCAGCAGGTGTAAGGAGACCAGCAGCATACTGATGGGAAGCCTTACTGTGAGCGCATGGATGGATCAGATGGACAAAACGTGTCCTGAGACATGGATGGCCACCACAACTGTTGTCTTATCAGGGAAAGGATTCTGTGAAAAACTAATACTGATACCTAACTGTTTTATATGTGTTGTATATGAATATTGATTGCATTGATGAGCTAATATTTTAATTTCTGCTGTGTGAAATTGTAAATTAAATAAAAAAAGTATAAGACCACTAAAAAGGTGTTTATATAACAAATACCATCAGAATGCATCTGAGCGAAGCACTGACTTCTGATGTCTTCCAACAACGGACTCAGTGTGGAGTTTAGGCCAGACTTAAGGACATCGGTCAGATAAAGATCAATCAGAATGAAGAAACAGTTTCCGCAGACACATGAGGCAGCAAAAAACAGATGTAGAGAAGTTGAGAAACAGTGAACAGTACTTCACAGGCCACTGAAGAGAGCAGCAGGTAGGAAATGATGACTGATGTCTAAAAACATGGCAATACTGCAAAACTATTTAAAATATGTATTTTATTTACTCTATCTGGTACAATAAAGCAGATTATTTGATATGTATACATTATGTGTAATCAAACATCTGGACAATTTGTCTTCAGTTTTAGAGTTTCGGTGAATTTTGTTTCACGTGAAAACCTTTCCCCTACAAATGTCTTTATACAAAAGCAATTAAACACTGTATGTTTAGTTTATATTTGTTCAGTCTTTGGCTAGATACATTTTATTTTTTATTTAGTAAAGTTTAATCTCACATCTGACTTGTTTAGCTGGTTAGTTATCTTATCTAATATTACGTTTTGTTTAACTGTAAATGCATCCCACAAAATTATCGTCATGTGCTGACACTTCTGAGAGAAACATTATGAACTCATTGGTCATTAATCCAAAACGGTGGTCCAAGATCTCACTATGAAACACTCATTTGGAGCTTTGGCAACCGAACAGAGGTCCTCTCTTGAAGTTTTTCATGTGGAAATTGAACCCACAATAATACAGCAGGAAGTGTCTATAGGCGCTAGATTGGGTGCGCCCATCGACAAAAACATCTTATTAAACCCATCTTGGGCTCGCTGTTGGAGGTTTTTATTGTCCACTTCCTCTTTACAGTAACAGGTTTGTAATGGCCTTGAAATGGAGGCTAAGTTGAAAAGGTTCATTTATTGTCTTTCCTCCATCTACCTAGAGCCATCGTAATGGCGCCACCCTTCCTGTCCTGTGTCACCCTCTGTATCATCGGATCTATCGCCACCATCTTCGCACTGCCTCCTACTGAGCCACCACTGATCCGCGACCACCCCTTTGTGGCCATATGGAATGCCCCCACTGACCAGTGTCGACAGTTTCACATCCCACTGGACACCGCAGCCTTCCAGGCGGTGACTACACCCGCCGCAGTGCCTGGTCAGTTCCTCACCATCTTCTACGAGGATCGCCTCGGCCTCTACCCCAAAGTCAACACAGCGAAACGCGTGCTCTACAGAGGTGGAATACCACAAAACGGCAACCTGACGGAGCATCTGTCAAAGGCTCAGAGTCAAATTGATCATTACATATCCCAGGATTCCTCTCCTGGGCTGGTTGTCATTGACTGGGAGTCCTGGCGTCCTCTGTGGGAACACAACTGGGGATCCAAACGTATTTATCAGAAGTTGTCCATTACTCACGCCTTGCAGATGGCCCCATTTTTAGCATCAAAGCCCATTTCCAAACTGGCAAAGAGTCAATTCGAGCTTGCCGGACGACGCTTCATGGAGAAGACCATCAGCCTCGGTATTGGAGAGCGTCCAAGCCGCCGGTGGGGGTTCTACTTGTTCCCCGACTGCTACAACTATGGCTGGGAGAAGCCCGACTACACAGGGAAGTGCTCAACAAAGATCCAGAAGCAAAACAACCAGATGCTGTGGCTGTGGGAGCGCAGCACCGCCCTCTTCCCCTCCATCTACCTCCACTTGTCCCTGAGAAACTCCCCCAAGGCCACGCTGTACGTTCGCAACCGTGTCCAGGAGGCACTGAGGGTAGCCAAGCTGCCTAAACGTCCATACACTATGCCAGTCTATGTCTACTCCAGACCACTGTACCGGGACCAGACCCAGACGTTCCAGAGCCAGGTGAGCCTGTTTGATTGCTTTTACTATCTTAAGTTACACTAATTGTTTGAAGAATCTTCCATGTTGATGCTCAAAGAAATAGGTAATTTTTAGTGTTGCTATTTCTACAAGTCAAATTAAAACAAACCTGTACAGCTGCAAACATCTTATAAACATATTGTTAATGTATTTTTAAAAGATATAAGTAGTACACTTGGTTCGGTTTCTTTTTAACAGGGGAAACAGCTGTCAATGAACACAACACCAGATCTATATACACTGCTGTATAAGAAATCTGGGAATTCTGGCCAGCACGTTATGAGTTGTTACTTGCATTGAAAATTATACTTGTGCATCTGACTCAATAGCAGACATCAGAGGCAAAGCTGGGGCAAGTGTCCAGGGAGCTAAGGAAAGTGGCTCCAGGACTAGATAAGGCAGGAAACTGGTTGGTACAGAACTAGCTGACAGGCTATCTGGCTGGAGGCTAGCAGTCTTGGTGCTCTCTGGTTCCAAAACGAGGTCTAACAAAAAAAAGACTCCAGAGAGGTGGACGGCCAGGAGTCTCCATCTAGTTGAGGCCCCCATCTTGGGAAAGCAGGATCCGGCTGGAGGTTATGAGGTCTGGATGAAGGCTAGTGACTAGCATGCTGTAGGGTAGCTGAGTGGGAACCAGGCTGAAAGCTAAGAGGCTAGACTCTAGCAGATAGGAAAGAAAGAGCAGTTGTCACTTCCCTAGCAGTTCAAGCTGCTAAAAAGTACAGGAAGTAAAATACACCAAGACACAAGAGGAAGGTTTACCAAAAAATAAAAACAGGAAATACAAAACAAAAACCCAAATCCTTGACAGTATTTCAGTGTAGAAAAATAACCTAAAGAACATTTATTGTTTGTAAATATTGCCATAAATTTTACCTTTACAAAGTTTAAATTGTTCAGTTTTGTTGATATTGTTGGAAATGTGAAAATTCAATTGTATGTGGAGGTCATAGTTGAAGGTGGTGTTGCACTGGACTACATTACATTGAGTGGTATTCCTAATTATTCCTCTTCTCCTTATTTACAATCACTTGGGGGGCAGAATATTAGAAACATCTGTATGATAGTACATGTACAGTATACTGTATCTGTCTTTTGGGATTCCAGCTTGTAAACACACTAACATGAAAGTGTTTTTAAAACACTTCCTGTTTTCAGCTGCATCACCATGTAACACTAAACGAAGTGACTTTCATAGAAATTACCTGTTGTAGAAAAGAAAAAAATGATATCAATCTAAAAACTGATTATTAGTAGTGGGAGTACTTATTAAGAAATTGTCAGATCTTCTGTGTGATTTGTCCTCTTTCAGAAGGACCTGGTGAGTACTATAGGAGAGTCTGCAGCTCTGGGAGCTTCAGGGGTTGTAATGTGGGGAGCAACCAAAGACTACAACAACAAGGTAACTACAGTTTTCTGAAGCATATTCACTGGTTGGGCTGGTCATTAAAGGATAGAATTTCACAAGCCAATATGTTTAAAAAGTTACACAAAAAGTTGGACTGACTCTAAAATGACCCAAAATATGCATGCACTGATCAGTAACTTTAACAAATTCTTGACCCTGTTTATAATTTACTACCCCGACCCCATACCAATTACATTACACCACCATTAAATTTTCTGAAATCGTTTTTTCATCTGAGCCCTTACGTCCCCACCACTTTTCGACGCAAAGTGATGCCCTTGTCTGCAGCCACGATAACATACTGTATGTTTCACATGTCTGAAAAAGGGGAACTCTGATGACGAGGCTTTAATCAGCAAATAAGGAATCTGCCTTTGTTTCTTCTTTAGGAGGAACTGACAGCCATGACACTGCACTGTGTGTTGCTATCTTATCTGACAGATGTGAAATAACTATTTTGCCTAATTTGTGTTTTCTTATATTTATTTTTAACTGTATCCAGTTTTTATGTATCAGATTCTGGTATTTACGGTACAGTATGGTATACATGCTGAGGTGATTTTTAAATGCATTACTTAGTTTGTAGCCATGCCAGCGACAGTGGTGGTGATGTTAAAATGTTGTGCATTTGTACAAACATTAGTATGGTGGCCATGAGAGGCCAAACGCACTGCAACTTAAGGCCCCATCCACACTACTGTGTTTTCAAATTAATATGGAGACCTTTTCCTACATTTGTACCTCTTGTACTAAAACAACTAAAACGAATACCTAAAACGAAGAAGTTTGGAAACGCTTTTGCGTTTCAAAACTCTGGAGGGAGTTTTAGTCATGCAAAGTAGAAACACAATGCTACTGAGTGAGTTGGTATTTTTATTAAAATATTCTGTACATGCAAATAACACTAATCTGCCTACACTTGTACTGTGCATGTCGCTGTTTACTTTGCGTAGACTCCCAGTCTGTTTTCCGCCGTCACAGTCTCTTTTAACTCCCGTGTTACATTTAGTAACCGTTCCAGCTCGTTATTGGTCCATGCAAAATAATATCTGGTCTGATTCTTCGTCTGCCTTACTTTATTCTTTCGCCAAATCTTCTGTAACTATAGAAGAGACCATCTGCTTCATGTTTACACCGGCACGTGCATGCCCAGTGTACCTAAACGGCCACTAGATGTTTTAAGTCTTTTTAATGTAGACGGAGATCAACTCTGATACGCAGCTAAAACGCTGGTGTGGATGGAGATGTATTCGTTCTCGGTTTGTAAACTAAAACGGAGTGGTGTGGATGGGGCCTAAGAAAACACATGTAAATTGATCACAACACAATAAGAAAACACAAAGGGAAGTGTTTCCAGGGGACACTTTTAAGTGATGCACACACCCAGCTTGTTTTGTTTTTGCTGTGGCCGTTTGAATAATAATAATTTGTCATTTAGCTGACCCTTTTATCCGAAGTGACACAAGTGATATAATTATTATGCATGTAAGAGGTTGCACGCCTCTGGAGCAACTAGGGGTTAAGTTTCTTGCTCAAGTACACATTGGTGGATGTGTCACAGTGGGGAAATGAACCCAGGTCTCCCACACCGAAGGTCTCATCCACTGCGCCATCACCAACCCTAGTTTATGACTGCAATGGAAATCAACAACGACTGACCCTTTGGACAGATCAGTCAAAGAGTGGTTCCAACTTTGTGCAGTTGGAGAAAAGTAACTGCAGTCGCCGGACTCAGCCACTGCAGCTGTCTCACTCCCACAAGGACTTTTTGCAGCACCGACAAAAGTCGGACACAATTTCTTGCCAGCATGTCTTATGATAAGTCCAGCATGCAACATGTTATGTCACCGCTGCAAAGCGCAGCATGAGGTCAAACGCAGAGTGCGAACTATTTCAACTGTTTCAACCTGATCTTTCTTTTCTCCGTGAGATGGAAGAATTTAGAAAGTCGCACGGCGCTGCAGAGAGTCCCCAGCTGCAGTAGCACATGGATCATGTGTAAAATCAGGAGCATCGGGCTTATCTGACCATTCTCTGTAAACCCTAGAGATAGTTATGCTAGAAAATCAGAGCTTCTGAAATACTCGGACCAGCCCGTCTGGCACCAACAACCATGCCGGGTTCAAAGTCACTTAAATACCCTTTCTTCACCATTCTGATGCTCGGTTTGAACTTCAGCAAGTTGTCTTGACCACATCTACATGCCTAAATGCATTGAGCTGCTGCCATGTGATTGGCTGATTAGCTATTTGTGTTAACAAGCAATTGAACAGGTGTACCTAATAAAGTGGCTGGTGAGTGTATATTCAAGCTGATATGCTTTTGATTTTTCTAACTCAATTTGATTTTTCTAACTTTCTAAATCACAAAGGGGATTTTTCCATAATGTCTCTCCCTATGATACATTTTTTATTATTAACCTAAAATTAATTCGTAACCGACATTTTCTTTCAGTCCTCATACATGAGTCTCACCTATAAACTCCCACCACTCCCTCTAGGCTTCCTGTCAGTCCCTGTCTGAGTACTTGACGTCCACCTTCAACCCTTACATCGCCAATGTGACGGCAGCTGCCATGCTCTGCAGCCAGGCTTTGTGCCAGGGGAAGGGTCGCTGCGTCAGGAAGAACTACGAATCTGGCCACTACCTGCACCTGAACCCTGCCTACTTCACCATCCTGCGGACTGACAGGAACTACGTGGCGATCGGTCTCCCCTCTGCCTCCGACATGGAAGCCTGGGCCGAAAACTTCACCTGTCAATGCTACGCAGGGCAAAGCTGTTCATCCAGACTGTTGCATCTGACCAATATAAAGCTCATCTGGGTTTAATCTGTCAACTGTTTTCAAAACTGCGCCCCCTTAATAATGTAGTCATTGACACGATTTGAACTGTAATTTGATTAAAGTATGATCTCATCAACCTTTTCATCAGCAATCTCTGATTTTATTTAAAAAACAAAAAACTTTGATGTGAAAAAAGTAAACTTTTCCAGTAACATCATTAAATGTGACATAAGTCTTCCCAAAGCAAATGCAATACGGATGTATTTGAATTGAAAACAAAAAGGCGCCTTAATAAATGCATTTCTGAAAAAAATTGCATTTATTTTTTTTGTTTCATTGACAAACCGTTCTACATTGAGAAGAACAGCAAAAACCAAGAAACAGGTTAATAAAATCAGATTATTTAGGAAAAAGACAGGGAAAACACAGGAACTTTTAAGATTATGTCAAGACCAAAAGGACTCTAGACCAAGTCAAGACAAAATGTTACTCAGTACAGTCCTTTGGATTTAGAAAAGTTTGAAATGTGATGGGAACAATTTAAACAATAATTTAAATCTACCTGAATGTTGCATTAGTTGCTAAAATTATATTTTCAACAGAAATAAATAATATTATATTAGAAAGGGAATATTCTTGCTGGCATATGAGCAGCAATGTCTCCACATTGTCCTCATCCTGCGGTCAAATTCACGAGAAGGTGTGATATTGTTTCTACCTTCAATATAAACCGACAGGAGTGTAATTTAATAAATTAAGTCTGAAATGACAGAAATAATAAAACTGTCTTGTGACCTTGTAAAGACACTGAAGCTAACACTATGCAGTGTGTAAAACTATCAGTAAATGCTTTTGACAGTATGCACTGGGATTACAGAGTCTTATTAGTCCAGGCTAGACAGCAGAGCGAGCTACTGAAATGTAATCGAGATTGAACAGCTTGTAAAGAATTTGCAGATGAGAAATGGTTTATAGAAGAATATGGCAGACTGTAGTCAGCTAACTATAATTAGCAGCAAACAAATGAAATGAAAATGGAACATCTAGCAGGGAAAGAGACAGATATTTCCACCAGAAGTTAAAACAAAGCTAAACAGATTGAATATTGGGCTTATATTAATCAGGTTGACACAACCACCACTCTAATCAGATGATCGTGTTGCTCTGTGACTGCGAGATGTGTCATGTAGGCAGCTGTCCCCATCCTTAATTTCTATATTAAACTACTAACAACAATAACTGTTTGTCCATTGAATAATTAATGTAATTGTAATTACATTTCAGAGGTCATTTCCTAACATTTTCAGACTGCAGAGCTTTTTTATTCATTCATTCATTCAGGCTGAGTTTTCTGCTTTCACTCCAACTCCATGTTTTAACTTGAGCTGAAGGTTAACTAAGTTTGTTATATGCCAAACATTTGGCTACTGAAATGGGGGAAAATTAAGCCCTGAAACAGACAAAATGTACCAGCCAACAATACATCAATACTGGTCATTAAATAATTCACATTGGAAATAAGTTTTGTACTCTATTATGTCAGGTATTCTGTAAATGAGCCCCTCTTTTCTCATAAAGTCAAGGAAAAGACTTGACTGTGTAGGGTTTACTTTAAGCTTAAATTAACAACCAAACTTGTGTTCAGCTGCTGCAACAGGCTGCTGTTCTCTTCAAGCATTTAAAAACATCAAGTAAAAAGGTGGATGGTAAAGCTACAAATTCTTACACAGGCCACAGCAACAAATCAAGCGGTTTACCCTTGCAGGATTGTTTTGCTGTAGCTCAACTCAACATCTCTTCTCCTTGCATCTTATCTAGTGTTTTTCCCAGCTGTGGAGTATCAGTGACTATAACGAGTCCTACACGTGCCCTGATCTACCAAACTAAAAGACTCATTATACATGTGCTCATAAACGATAAAAAAGTACACTTAAAGAAATGGAAAGGTAACAATGATCAAGGACACATTGTCGCGATCAATATAAATATCTAATGTTTATGAATACAGCAGCCTACCTGATATTTTCAATTATGACCAGCTGACAAACAAGTGAATGGTTTTCATCAAGTCAATCTCATTTATTATGTAGACCTTTCATTTAGTTTTATTGCAGGCCGGTAGGTAGCAGCTGGTCCAAGCTTACTTCCTGTCTCCAAAATGTTAATCTATTGTCATTTGAATTGTCAAAAACAAATAGGTAGGTAGGTGGGTAGATTTATGTTGTCACAATATAACAAGTTATAGAGTGAAATTGAGTTCGTAACTCCCGTAGCAGACAATATATATTAATATAGAATCAATTATAAAAATGGTAAATAAAATAAACTATATTCAATGGAGCAGTGCTGAGGATGAATTTTAGTTTAAAAGTGTGATAGTTTGGGGGGGGGGGCTTCTTTGCACAGTCTGGTGGTGTGGCAGGAGAAACTTATTATCTCTTCCTAGAGGGCAGCAGGGTGAACAGGCTGTGGCTGGTGTCGGTACTAAAGGACAGTACCCACCACAGTCAATTCTACGATTTACTTTTAAAAACCTTCAGTTTTTCTGATCTTTAAAACTCCCCTGTATGATGTGATTGAAAGTCCTGCAATTTCCGATATCTCACGGGAAAGTCCTTGAAAGTCACACAAAAACGGCAACACATTGCACTTGCTGTGACGATGACAGAATGCAACATTTAAATTTGTAAAAATGCTTCTAACAGTGTCATTTTGGGGACCTGGAGCTTTCCTTTTTTGCTAATACCTTGAACGGAGACTTCACCATATTATTATTTCCTGTTGTTGTACCAGGTAAGTTGTTGAGCAGGTGTGAGGTCGTCATCCTCTCTACTTAGTTATACTTAAAAGCTACTGCTACAATTTACATAAAAATATGAGTTATGGAATCACAGACTGATTACTTTGGTTTTTATTTTACAGTTAAAATTGTCTAATGTCCGTAGACTAAAACCAGTTCAGTTAACATTGCATAAAAATCCTGTTTGATGTGTTATCTGTATGTGTTAGGCAATTAATTGTTCTTTAAATAGGCATGTACTTTGAACAAGCCTACTCAAGATTACAGACATCATGGAGCACAAATATTTTTCTTTAAATTCAAATTGAAATATACGATATGTGTCTGTATATAGTTGTGTAAACTTATCATACTAAGTTTGGTGTTATTCTTACAAACAGCTTGGATAGTTAGTTAGACACTTTTTAACATATATATATGAAAAAACGGTGGGGCACCAACCATTTACTCTCTCTTGCTTCTGTGTTTTTTAACATGTCAACAAACAGCACAGCTCAAAACACTTAACATGAGAAGAGCAGGCTGGCCTACTAAATCCCAAATAATAAGGCAGTATGAAAGTGGCTATATAACAACAACATCATGACAACAACCTTAATCCGTAGCCTAGTCTCAACCGACCCAGAACAACAATTTGCCCATGCAGAGACAAGCAGCAGAGTCAGGATGATAAAAGAAGCTTTCACTCACCAGAGCTAAGGTCTCATGTGAGGAGAAAGGCGTTTTTTCCTCTGGGCAAACTTCTGGGTGACTGAAGTTTTTCAGACAGTCCGCCGACTCGTTGTGGCCCCACAGTGTTTGTTGTGCTGCTCACTGGAGCGCCTGTTGGGCGCAAGTAATGTTGAGCCCAGTTTCACTGCATCGTCCAGATGACTCCCGCTGTTCTGATGTTTTGCAATCCTCTCATAAAGGTGAAGGTGAGAACAGGCACAGGACTGTCTCCCTCGAAGCATAACGTTAACAGCCGGTGTTATGCCGAGATCTGCCAGCCTGCCAAGAATTGCATGCACTTCCAAATGCTTTTAAATGCTATATTATTATTTGTGGGGTCCATCAATGGTGTTAAATGATTTGAAGTATATATTTTATGAACGTTAAGAGTCTTTAATATTTCAATACACTTAGTAGCAGCTGGTTGCTGCCTCCACAGAAAACATACACTTTCAGCACAACACCGGTCTACTCTGCTCTGCTGCCTGTTAGTCCCACCCCTTAACCAGTCACAATTTTAGAAACGTGATTGCCATCTACATGGACGAATCAGAGGCCTCTCCTAAATTAAACATCACAGTCTGTCACAGCTCAGCGTCAGAGGTTACCCTCTTAAAGTGACGGAGCCTAATATGTATGTTGTATGCTGCTATTCACCTTTTAACTCAAACCAAGGGGTTACATAATATAAACAGTAGATAGCATTTTATGCATATGCTCCTTGCCGGGGGGGCCACTGGGGTGGCCACCCATTTTCTTAGGGTGGCCGTGGCCCCCCCTGACAGCACCATTGGCTACAATCCTGCAAATCTGAAAAGATTACTTCTTTTAACCGTTTTACATACGATTTTCCCCCTAATATTTGAACAACACTAAAAGTGTACAGCTATGCTAGCGGCTCTGAGGCTGTGCTCAGTCACAGTACTTTGAGCTAAATGCTAACATCAATAATGCTAACATGCTAATGTTTAGCAGGTCTAATGTTTACCATGTTGACCATCTGACCTTAGAAATTTAAAATGCTAACATTTGCTAATTAGCAATAAAGACAAAGTAGCTTACAGCTGAGGCTGATGGGAATGTTATCAGTTAGGTAGGCAATTGGTCAGAAACCAAAATATTGGACAAATTAACATTTTGACCTGATGATGGAAGAGGAAAACTCAAGGAACAACCAATGTAATAATTACAATTAATTTGAAGGGGGACATGAACACCTACCGTGCATTAAAATTCCATGGCAATCCATACGAAAATTGTTAAGATGTGTCAATCTGGACCAAAGTGATGCAGCTAGCATGACCAATAATAATTTTTTTTAATATCATCTTGACCCAACTCTTTCCGGAATATTAATATTTCCACTGAGTAGAATATTCACCCAAGATTAGACACACTTCCCCCAAACTCAGAGTCCCCTTTTTTTGGGAAATTTTGGGAAGTTCTGTGATTTTGACAATTCTTATACAACACAAAAGTATAACGACTGGGGTTTAAGGGGTTACATTTGTACATCTGTAAACATTTCAACACATTTGTGAAGACAGAAGGAAACAGGTCAACTTTGCTCCTGTCCGTAAATTACTTGATTTGTCAAATGTCATTTTATTGCTGTCCATTTTGGGTAGAAAATTTAATATTGAAAAGAATAAAAGTAGAGTGAAAACTGTATCCTGAATTAGGAAAAAGTTTACTCCCAAACAAAGCTAGATTTATTTAAGAGCCATTCATTGTGAACTTATTTTCCTGATTTTTGTTTCTTTTTCTTTTTCCTCACAGATCAGATTCCTGTTTCAAAATGAACAAAGTCAAACTGCTCAGTGACAAACAGCATATTTTTTCCATCTTCATCGCCATGTTGGCCGTGCTGAGTTCTGGACGGGCCTTGCCGAGGACAGACCCTCCCATCCGCCCTGGCCACCCATTCTTGGTCATGTGGAATGCCCCAACTGAGCTGTGCGACATCCGTTTCGGCATGCCACTCGACCTCTCCTACTTCCAGTTCATCAGCAGCACGTTGAAGACTGCGACCAACCAGAGCATCTCCATATTCTACAAAGACCGCTTCGGCATCTTCCCCTACGTGGACAAAGACACTGGCGAGATGTACGACAAGGGCCTACCTCAACTCATAGACATGCAGGAGCACCACGAACTGGCTGAGGATGACATTGAGTACTACATCCCTGCCGACCAGCCGGGCCTTGCTGTGCTTGACTTTGAGGAGTGGAGGCCACAGTGGGTCAGAAACTGGGGCAGCAAAGACATCTACCGACAGATTTCCATTGAAATGGTAAAGAAGAAGAACGCATCGTTGTCCAACGACGAGGCAGAGGACCAGGCGAAGATCGTTTTTGAACACTCAGCCAAAAGGTACTTTCTCCATTCCATCCGCATCGGGAAGAGGCTGAGGCCCAACAGACTCTGGGGTTACTACCTGTACCCCGACTGCTACAACTACGACTACAACCAGGACATGGCGGGCTTCACCGGAGAGTGTCCCGCTATCGAGAAGGACAGAAACGATGAACTAGTGTGGCTCTGGAGAGAGTCAACAGCGATCTTTCCATCCATCTACCTGGAGCTGGTGCTCAGAGACTCCCGGCAGGCCAGGCTGTTCGTCCGGCATCGCATCCAGGAGGCCATGAGGGTGTCGATGCTCCCCAACAACTCCTACTCAATCCCCGTCTACGCCTACATCCGGCCCGTGTACAAGGACAGTACCAATGACTACATGTCAGAGGTCAGACATTCCTGAAAATATACTTGTTTCTGATTGGCCATGGAATTTATATGAATGATGATATCGTTATGGGCCTTGTGATGGACTGGCGACCTGTCCAGGGTGTAACCCGCCTTTCGCCAGATGTCAGCTGGGATTGGCTCCAGCGCCCCTGTACAGAGGATTAGCGGATGACGATGGATGGATATCGTTATGCTACATGAAATAAATGTATAAGTATAATATAACTGGAAGAGTCAAACAGGATGATGTCAACATAATTATGAAGTGTAATTAGGGTTTTCAAAATGTTCAGATTTTCAAACTCAGCATTGCTTTAAAGTAATGAAGTAAGTTATACATTTCAGAGCAGACTAACTGCACATGACTCTTACGACCACTGGACCTCTGGACTACTCATAAATTGTGTTCGTGCCTAAGAGAAAATCCACCTAACTGCGTGGAGGGCAATTTCCTGCTCTCCTTTTTTTTTGCAGTCTGATCTGGTCAACACCATCGGAGAAGCTGCTGCTCTCGGCGCTGCCGGCGCCGTTTCCTGGGGAGACATGAATGTCACAGACACAGAGGTAGAAAGTGACATCACCCTGGTGTTTTTTGGGAAGATTTTTAAACTTATTCTTCTTTTTGCCAACTTGCTTATCAGCCACTAACTGACTTAATATCCCAGGATTCCTGCTTTGATGCTCGACGCCACCTGCTGCAGGTCATGAACCCATACATCTTGAACGTCTCCACAGCGACGCAACTCTGCAGCCAGGCGCTCTGCCAAGGCCGAGGTCGATGTGTGAGGAAGCACTGGGAGGACGACGTCTTCCTCCACCTCAACCCGCACCATTTCCGGATCCAGAGGCAGCGCCACACTGGCCCGTTAACTGTGAGTGGTGGCCTCTCGCAGGATGACATCAAATGGTTCAACCGTAGCTTTGACTGCATGTGCTACAGCGAGGAGCCGTGCAGATCGGTCTGGACCTTCAACATTATCCATGAGGAAGTCCTCATCACGAGGGATCGAGGTGCTGACCATGCCTAGCCCCCTAGTGCTCGTGATGATACTGCTCTGTCTGGTGTATTTCGTGATGTAAATCAATCAATGACACAAACCTGATACCTGTAATACAGGATATGTGGTTGCAGGCAGTTAGAGGACTGTTCCGCTGTTACTTGTTTGTTTTTTCAGCCAAATCTGCCAGTCTCATTTATACAACTTGCTTTTGGAATATGCAATATACACTGAACAATATATACAAAATGATGTTTAAAATGTATTATTATTATTATTATTATTATTGAGGTCTCAACATAAGATTTTGGCACAGCACCCCTTTGACATAAAATTTTAAAAACATTTCCACTAAACACATTTGCAATTTATTATATTACATACAGAACTACAAAACAATTCTGAATTCTGGGTTTTGATTATAACCTAATTAATCATTAAAAACTGATTGTTGTGTAGTTCTCTCGCTCCAGCAGGGGTTGCAGGTTATCTGTACATTGTGTCAACAGCGTTGTTATAGCCACAAACTAACACTCGTGCTCGTTTCCCCTTTTTGTTTTCTTGTGGTTAGTGGAAGTTACAGTCGCGAAGACAAGGAAAGTGTAGCTTCAGGCAGCCACGGCGGAGAGATCTTCAATTCATTTACATTTACATTTATTCATTTAGCTGACGCTTTTATCCAAAGCGACTTACAATTGCTATTTATGTCGGAGGTCGTAAATTGATCACAACACAATAAGAAAACACAAAGGGAAGTGTTTCCAGGGGACACTTTTAAGTGATGCACACACCCAGCTTGTTTTGGTTTTGCTGTGGCCGTTAGAATAATAATAATTTGTCATTTAGCTGACGCTTTTATCCAAAGCGACCAACAATTGCTATTTATGTCAGAGGTCGCACGCCTCTGGAGCAACGAGGGGTTAAGTGTCTTGCTCAGGGACACATTGGTGGATGTGTCACAGTGGGGGATTGAACCCAGGTCTCTCACACCAAGGACATGCATCTTATCCACTGCGGCATCACCACCCCAATTCAATTCTATTTTTATAGCGCCAAATCACAACAACAACAGTCTCATAGCGCTCATAAAAGAGCCAGTCTAGACCATACTGTGTGATAATATTTACAGAAACCCAACATCCAACAGATGTGACACTACACTGATGAAATGAATAAAATAAAAATAATGTAAAAGATCATGATTTTCCCACTGTCACATATCCACAGTTGTTGTGTTTTTCCTAATGACAGACAGGTGACTTCATGAACAAAAATTTTAGTGTTGTGTTTTGATTTTTATGCGTGTTAATGTTCATTGACACTGAATGTCTGAATGAACTATTGGATGGATTGCCATCAAATTTATTTCAGATATTCACATTCATTTAGGATGAATTGTAATAACTTTGAACTTGAGAGGGAAAATTCTTCCCTGAGGAATGCTTTGAGCATCATAGAAGGTAAGTTGATTATTAACAGTAATGTGTATTTTAAGCTTTTAAGATGTCCAGCCTTTTCTTCTAATGCTTACTTATGAGATTCACATCAGCTACTTTGTGTTGAGTGTTAATTTGCAAATGTTTGCATGCTAACTCACTAAACTAAGATGGTGAACATGGCGCCCTCTATACCTGCAAAAGATGTTAGCATTGTCATTGTGAGCATGTTAGCAGACAGCAAAGCACGAGCCTGTTGACACATGACACAAACAGCACAGCCTCTTCAGTTTATAAAGCGTGCTCAGTGGTGACACCAGCAGCGACATCATGCTCTTCAGCCAGTCTCAGACCGCCTTCAACACTGCGGTTCATCTCCATGAAAATGGATGGTTTGTTTTCTGTGGGTGAAATAAAAGAGCATGGAAGGAGTTAGGGATTTGAACATTTCTGTGTGGGTGTATTCAGTTTTACCAAAATGTTGTTTCTGGACATTTTCCTGAGAACATGACAGAGATTAACAATGGCCACAAAACACATTTAGTTCCAATTTATCTGAAGCAGGACAGTAACATCCTCACTTTGTCTCCCTTTGAATCCCAGCTTCACGGGCCGGGAAGAAGGAATTACTGCCCACAAATCCGTTTACTTTTAACTTATAAAGCTAAAATTTAAAACTGCATTGTAAAGCATAATTATTGTAATTATGTCTCCTCTACTTTTATTGGCTGTGAAAGTCGCTGGATTTTATCTTCAGCTGATCGCTTGTTACTTTGCAGAGGACCCGAGGGATTTCATTCCTTTACATCACAAATTTGGTAATTCAGGGGCGCACTGAAGGTACACTGTGTTAATGTGTGTGTGTTTTACCTGTCCTCTTGCTGCAGTAGATAGACACCACGAGGATGGTAGAAATGCAGAACGGACAGACGACCAGTAGATGGCAGAGCAGCCTGACCACAGACAGAGGACTAGCATTATCTGGATCTGGATCTGAAGTATAAATCAACTGAAGTATAAATATTATCGTCAGCTGAAGTCATTTTTACACAGAATGAGGACACTTTGTTTTTTTCCTGTATATTTTATGAGGATTGTATTAAGACTACTATAATATCATAATACTATCATAATACTATCATAATACTGTTTGTCATAATACAAACAGAAAGTAATTCTTATTGTTATATAGTTTCCTGACCTCTGACACTCAGCCAGCTCTTCAACGATCCTGACAACACCAGTAGAGACCTTCATGAGACGGCTGGACATCACTAATGGTAAACTCTCCCGTTTGTCCAGTGCCAAGGAAGCTCTCATTCCTGAAGAAGTACACTGTTTGTGTGTAACTTTCTCTGGTTTTACAGTGCAGAGTGACATGACTTCCTACAGGCACAGGATGTCTGGGCAACTCCAGGATCACAGAACGATCTGAATAAGAAAACACAGACCAGAGTCAGTCCACAAAGATGTAGTCCAATTAGACCAGAGCCATAGAGGCGAATTTAAACCAGAAATATATAGACACGTTCCCCGTTTACAAACAATTAAGGATGTGCACGCAGCAGATAGAAAACACATTACCACATGGGCATTCACCGTATTTAGAAATAGAGCAACTTGGTAGACAGGTCATGTGGCATTGACTCTTGCTTTTCAAACATGCTAGACTGTAAAAAGTTTGCTCTTGCAGGCAACGAAAAGTGACGAAAAGATTTTTTTCTCGGAAAAACAAATATATGCAATGCTGTCATCAAGTCCTACACTGAAACTCTCACACACTGATCATCTGATCACCAAATAATTGATCGACTGAGCCTGACAAACATTTTAAAAACCCTGCCATAATAACACACAATAACCTGTCTTACCTTACAACTGGCATTTCTTCCTGCAGTTTCAGTAAAAAAAAAAAACAACACTTCCGTAATAAAGGTTTGAAGCTAATAGCTAATTCTGCACTCTGAGCTGATCATTTTGCAACCACTACTTTTGTTCCTGCAGTTTTAAGGAACAAAAACAACTCCTCATGTGGATATCCTCATAAACTCTCTGCCATTCCGGTTTGTTTTATTTTCCCTGCACGCATGGGTTTGAACAGGTCAATTTCTGTACCTGATACACTGATGCTGACCTGGACGCTCCTCTGTCCAGCTCTATTTTCACACCAGTAAACTCCATTGTCGGATGGAAAGAGAGTTGAGATGTTGCAGGAGGAACCATTCAATCTCCCAAAGTCTTGTTGACCTCCACCACAGGTCTGTGTCAGTCCTCCTGCTGTCCTCTTCACCGTCCATCCATCCACTGTCTGTCCATCTTCAACACAACTCAGAGAGACAGAGTCTCTTTTAAAGAACACCTGATGGTTTGGACTGACGTTCAGAAAGACTGGAGAACAAAATGACGGACAGACAGTTAATTGTTTATATTTTTGTAGGTTTGTGTCAACGTCAAAACTTCAGACAAAACAGTCAGACAGAAACACAGAAATGTATTATTTAATTATTATTTGAGTGTCATCAGCTCACCTGCAGACACAGGCAGTCCAAACAGCAGCACAGCCGGGCCTGCAACAGGAGGACACGCTTAATAAAGATCAGAGATCAGCACGCTTACAGCAGTTGAAAAGATGTGAGATCAGTCCAGTCCTTTCAGCCTGTGGCCTTCATCACTGCATTAGGTAAGGAAACTGGAGAAACGTCAGTGGGGGGACACACTGGAGGTACAATATGTATGAATTGGCCACCTGTCAAGCACAGAATGCCAGAATTGGCACCAGAACCAGAGCTGGGCAAGTGGGCAAGTGAACCGGGCTCAGCAGCTTCCCACGGAACCCAGCCAGACAAGGGCCTAACACCCAGGGGCCCAGGGGACGACAAAGACAGGGCAGGTTCAGGAGAGGCATGATGCGGGAGAGGAACGGGAGGTCAGCGCTCACCTCCGGAGGCCTCAGTGGGGGTTACAGCAGGGTCAGTCCCAGGATGCCAGGAGACAAACCCGGAAAGAAAATCAGATGCACCTGGGCTCACTGAATGGTTTGTGAGAATGCGGTCTATACCTGCTCTATATGAAAAGTGCAATAAGATAACTGTTATGAAATGGTGCTATATAAATTTAATTAAACTGGATTTATTTATTTATTTTACAGTCAACATGTCTCAAGCCAGTCTCACACCTATGAAGACAACGCTCTCCATCTCAATAAAACCAAATTACAGAATATAAACATCTTCAAATCTATTTAGTGATGTCTCTGATGCTATATGTCCTTTTGTTATGTCTGGCTGTGTTTGTGTTTCTTTCTATCTGCTATACTCAGGCGTCTCTTGATCTCAATGACATGAACTGATTAAATAAAAGTGGTATATTCGAGTAACTGAGCTAATATCATGTGGAGGAATAGTGTTTATTCCTCCAATAGAGTTCCACAGACTTGGTAAGGAGCCCTGAAACTGTTCTGGAGGCCTGTGGTGGATCTGACTCATCCTAAGACTAAGTTTGTTCTTTATTTTGCCACCTATTGAAGAAAAAGGAAGCACACGATGCTATACATAGAAGCAGCAGGAAGAAAAACTGAGAAATAAGTGAAAAGGGTGATCCTTCCTTGTTCCTTTAAAAACACGCAGGAGACATTAAAATTACTTAATAAATTTTGAGAATCTTTCCCAAAAAAAACACACATTGCACTAGACTAACTGTGAAAGGTAAATATGAGAGAAAATCCCACTGTTGTTTAATTATAAACAGTAAATAAGATTTGGACTTGGTTTCATGACACTCTGCACTCAATGCTGACTAGTTCGTTTATTGCCAACATGTAACCCACAACACTAGTTACCATTTAATGTTCAGTGACTGTTCAGTGAGTTGTTAATGATCGCTGCCAATTGACCGATCACTGTTATCGTGAAATCAAAGTTTTGGAGAAGGTTTGACTCACCGAGGAGCAGAGAGACAGACGGAGCCTTCATGTTGTCCGGATGATGAGTCTGTCTTTGTGTCTCTGAACATATAAAAAAACACAACTTCTGGTTTCTTAAGTCTGTGGAATATTCATTAATGGATGAATGTGGAAACATTTGCTGGGTACAGTGGGGCTGCTGTGGTTTAGAGGTAAGATCGGCGGTTCGATCCCTGGCTCCTCCAGTCTGCAGTGTAAGCAGGACATTGAACTCTGAATTGCTAGCACGTGTGAATGATTAGTTTCTTTCTGACGAGCGGCTGGTACCTTGCATGGTAACGTCTGCCATCAGTGTATGAATGAGTTGACATGTAGTATAAAAGGCTTTCAATGGTCTGAAGATAGAAATATGACGTGCAAGTACAGTCCATTTTCAGTGAATTTATCAACATCTGGGACAGAAAGAAACAAACCAGCATTATATTAGGATTCTATCTTTGTGTTTTATTCCTATTCTGAAGGTTTTTTTCAGAGGGGTTTTGTTCATATATCATTAATAGCCTGATTTATGTGATATTTCTGTTGACATTTTGGGCATTTGAAATTTTATGAATGATAAAAAAAGAATAAAAAAATTCCCCCAAAACTTTTGACTCTAACATGTCAACAAAAACAAACAAGAACTTTGAACCTGGCTTTATAAATGTTCAGATTTTTGTTCTGGAAATGAGTGCATGTGTAATTAGATAATGCCTCATTTGCATGTTTAACCATAACATTTCAGAAAAAACAACAATACCATTTTTTTTACTTATAACCAACTGCAGACCTTTCATGTTACTAGATACATGTTTACCCCATTCACCTGTGCTGTCTGGCATTAAGACTTAAATTAAGTTAAATGAAAGAATTTTTAATATCTTCTAAGACTCTTCTTTTTTGGGCGGTGGGGTTCTGCTGCAGTAGAACCTGTGCTGCGGGTTGTTGTCCTGCAGGGGGAGCCGGAGCTCTGTCCTGCACACTGCAGTCTCACTGGTCCATACACAACTAACACAGAAAAGAGGAACACACCAATAGGTTAGTATTACTAATGAGAATACTAATTAGAGAGACAAATCAACACAACTGATAAAACCTACTGTGGACAGAAAATCAGAAAATAAATTTGCAACATTAGGACTTGAATTGTGACAGAGGGGGTCCATTATAGTAGTCCAGTGGCTCTAAGAAATGAATAAATAAATTAATCAGTGGTGCCACAGAGGGACTTTCTGCCTGAAGTTTGGTCTTGGAACTTCCTTTCAGGGTGCGTCCAAATCGCTCCTCTGTCCCTGAAACTGTCCGACACCAACCCCGCTCGAGTGACTCTTTAAAATAATGAGAAGTAGTCTCAGTTCCTCCTGTTTTCTGGCGAGTTGACTCTTTTCAAAACCCTTTGAAGAGACCAAACAGGAGATATGGAGGCTGTTATTGGTTCTTTATTTTAAGTAATTTGCAATAAAACACTTTAAAAAAAAGGTTTTATTTCTGATTGAACTTGAATCTGGCCAAAATGCTAGAAAAGCCCTTTGCAGAGCAGCCAGTAACTGATATGCAAGTATTCATGTGGGCTGCTGTGTAAGTCGCAGTGTGTCACTGACTGTGTTTGTGTCTTCACACTCGGCTGTCTGTCCTGCAGGCAGAAGGGTTTTCTTCTGTTTTCAGTTCTGCTGTCAGAAACATTTTCCTCCTCCAGCGGCCGGCTGTGATCGTCGTGTCTCTGCTGCTGTTTCTGATTTCACACAACAAAGATCTGGGAGACACACTGAGCTCTGCACCAACACAGCGGATAAGATTATTCTAATTTCATCAAAGCTCAGTTTGTAAATAATGGCCAAATATGTCGGCTCTCCAAAATAGGAACTGATTTTGTAAAAGTATTTGGAAGTAAGAGTCTACAGGCACTGAGGCTGCGATGCTCATTACTCACTAAATTAACTCTTAAAGTAACACTTTACTCTACTCTACTTTTAAATTAATGAGGTGTCATAGACAGTAAAATGTAATTTGGTACTAATTAGCGTAAAATTAAAGACACAGTTTGGAAGGAGTATTTTAAGTTTAGATGGCTTGTCTGTGTTGCGTTTATAAAAGCTGCATGTTTCTAGAACAATTTCTTTCAAAGACCTGTTGAAATCTTAAAGAAATAGACACTTTGGGAAATACGCTTATTCACTTTCTTGCCAAGAGTCAGATGAGGAAGATTGATACCAATCTCATGTTGGTACAGTAATTGAAAGGCTAAAGCCAGGTTAACTTAGCTTAGCATAAAGACCCCATAAAGCCTGGCTCTGTCTGGAGGTAAAAACATTCACCTACCAGCACTATGTAAAATTTCCTACGAGTAAATACAGTGTTCTGTGTAAAATAAATCCCATTCTGTAGTGTCTGGCATATGCAGAGCTCAGCGCTGAAACAGTCATTGTTTAGTTTTGTGAAAGACTGAATTCCAGAGCACAGTGAGATTTTATGTCACAACACATCATTTCACGTCCTCTCATCCATATTCAGGGCTCGTCAGCATCAGCTGGTCTTTCAGAAGAATCCAGCATCTGAGTGACGGAGCTTCTCTGATGAACAGTCGGCCCGTTGTGCGCTGTATGAATATTTTATGTAAGGATCTCTACAACAGTCAGTGTGGCCTGCAGAAGCGTAGCTAGTTCTGACTGCCCCACCCCCCCCAAAAACATTTGAGTAGTAGTTGTGGTAGCAAAGGTGTAGTGGTGTGTTTACACAGCTTACACCCCCCTCTGGGCCGAGGGGTTTACGGTATAAAAATAGCCACAGATACATTAGTATCAGTAGGCATCCTGCAGAACAAGGCTGAAACCATTCATGTTACAGTAATGTTATGTAATCTGTGGTGTTGACGGTGCACGAGAGACTTTGTTCCCTGGCTTCAGCTTTTAAGGCAGTGCCTCCTTCCAGGCAACACAAGTGCCCATTTAAATAATAAATAATAAGTAAAAAAAAAAAAAACGTAACGTAAGAACAAAATAGTTAACATTGATAATAATAGAAATTTTAATTTACTGCTACTGCTGCCCGTTGTGCTGAAAGTTTCAGGAACATTCATATCCAGACAATATCATACCCAGAACGTCTTTTCTAACCATTAAATATTGACATGAATGACCACTGGCTGCTCCTGTCAGGCCACAAGGCTGCAGGGCACGCTAAGAGGATGAGCAGATTAATTCTAAACTGAATGAATTTTATTTCTCCATGTAAGCATATATAAATTAAATAAATATTGACTGTTAAGTTTAATATGTGTGTGGAGGTTTGTAACAGCTTGTCATGCTACACTGATTTCAATCGGATTAATCTAAAGTTGTTTCTAGCAGCTGATTTGCCCAACACATCTATAAACAGATTATCTGCATATGAATGTAGAATCTGTAGGAAAGGGACAAGACTTTGTTATCAGAAGCGTTCTGGTGTCCGTTTGTAGTCCTAGTAGTATTGTGTGGGCTTTGGTTGCATGCACGTTAACAGTCCCTGTGGAGAGCAAAAGAACGTGGAATGTGGTGGATCAAAATGCAGTCTCAGAACCCATCAGCTATCGTCTGACGATGATTTAGCTTTTTAATCAGTCTCTTAGCTTTTTAAAATTGCATTCAAATTGTCGTCAAAGAATAGATGATGGGTTCCAAGCTTGCCAATCAGACTGTAAACAATGACCGGCACACTGAGGAGGAAGTCTTGGCCCGCATTTCCGGATAACCGCTGACTTCAGTGGAAGCCCCAAAACATTGGCCATTGCCCCCAGAGGATAAATTGTTGTCAAACGATAGATGATGGGTTCCTAGATTGCTAAAGATGTTACTGCTGAAATCTGTGGACACACTGAAAGAGTGGTCTTTTGGTGGCATTAGAGGAAAAGTCAGGGTGACAAACACCAGGATTCAAATTCGATAGAAAGCTAGCCATTATCTTTGCAGATACCTCGTTAAGCCAAAGTGGTTCTCACGGAGTTTATGGGCCCATTATGGCAAAACAGGAGAGGTCGGGGGGTTCACCAAAATCATCACAGAGCAGCAAGAAAATAAACTGTTGCGTATGAACACAACCCAACAACCATAGCCTCTTCCTGGTGGAGCCGTCGCCCTCCGTGCTCTGACAGCCTGGTCCAGCCCGGCCCAGCATGGCTCGGCTCGGTCGTTCTCCTGCCTGTATAATCTGCTCTGTCAGACGGGAGCTGTCATCCGGGGGAATAAGAGCTTTATTGTCCTGGTTCTTCTCCTTTGTTGGGGATTGCAGCAACATTTCTAGGTCACCGGCTGTGACTGAACGCCCCGCTGCCCAAACTGATTCTTCACTGAGGGAATTCACCCCCTCCCTGTTTCACCCACTACTGCCAGGGGGAACACAATAAGAAATATGCTCCTGGCAACAACAGCCGGGCTGCGATCTACCAAACGATTCCAGCTTCTGTTTTCTGTCAGAGCAGATACATTATGGATGCTGACTCAAACGGTTTGTCAAAAGGCTCTTTCATGGTGATAATTGGGCGGACAGACTGTCAGATCCTTTCCCCATTCAGATTTGTCCTCATAATTATCTTCAACCTTTCACCCTGATCTCTCCCAGAGGGGTTAAGCACACATTAATGTTATTGTTTGATGCTGCTAACAGAGGCTGTAGTTAATCACTTATGATGGTGTTTGTATTATATTTTAAAATAAAATGAATTTTTGAGGTCAGCCACAACTTAGCTGAAGTTCTCCTATGAGTACCACTAAAGCTACAACACGTTGAATCTTCTTTGTTTAATCTGTACAAAAATAGTGTAGACCAGGGCTTTTCAAAGTCTAGGCCTCCCCGCAGACAAAGCTTAGGAAAAGGCGACCCCTCACCCCCCTTAGTTTACTTGCTCAGTTTCGCTCTATAACCTGGACACCTATGGGATCATCATTATGTTATTTGACACTCACAACTTGAGCCAAGATAAATTAATATTGTTTGACAATAAATAGGTTGACATGACTTCAGACCTCACCAAATAAATAAAAAATTATTAGTTTCTGACTCTGATAAAGTGGGGAAAAAAGTACCAAATCCACTATATTTCTGAACACTTTCAACAGGTATGCTATTCTATGTGATCTCCTTTTGATAACTAATGTAATACTTTTTCTCTTCCATTCACTAAGCCTCCCCTGAAACAGTTTGGGGCCCCCCTGGTGAGGCCCTCCTCACACCTTGAAAACCTCAGGTGTAGACAATA